CGCCCGGTCCCGCTCGCTCTGGCCCGGCCCGGCCCGCGCAGAGGTGAGTAGCGGCCGCGCGGCGCGGCGCGACCGACCCTCCCTGGGCGGGACTCGAACCCGCGGCCCGCAGCCCCCCGCGCGGCCGCCCCCTGTCCCCCTCGCGGCTTGAAGTCGCGGTCCCCGCAGCGCGCTGGGCAGCGGGGCGTCCCGGGGGTGTCACCCCGCTCGCTGCAGACCACGCGCGTGGGTCCGAGCGCCCCAGGCGTCCCCAGGCTGGGCGATTTGTAGCCTTTTCCACCCAAGCTAAACGCATTCATAACAATAACGAGCAAGAGGCAGCTCGTTGAAAGCAGCGTCCACCTGCAAACCCTCCCGCCGCTGGCAAGTTTGCGAGGCTGCGCTTGCCTCTCTGCACGGAAGCACGCTCGATTTGCAGCGCGACACGCACTACGGGAGAGCAGGGCGCGCACACGGTGCCCTCAGCCCCGTGCGAGCCACCCGCGTTCACCTGCCCAGGGTGCTGCCCCTCCAAGTGTGGGGCCAGCGACTGCAGGCAGAGGCGGGAGTTTTGAATGGGTTGCTTCCCTCCGGGGTCCTTTGCCTCTAGATTTCACATTTTTTAAGTTCCCCGCTTTCCAAATGCTTTGCAGAGATTACCAACTTCTGTAAGCGAGGGGGCAGTCAGGCACAGAGATATAAAGAGAAAGAAAATCTTGGCCAGAGCCACCCAGTTCAGCAGCGGCAAGAGCTTSAGCCGCTACTTTCCCTCCACGGGAGATCCGATAAAAGGGAAAAGGTGCAGAGAGTTGCCATGGGTGGGAGCTGCAGGCGGGCACATGCGCCTCAGGCCAGGAGCATTTCAGGGTGCCGTGGAAAGGGGGAATCCCTTGGGAAAGCAGTYGTGGACGTGAGTTAAAGCTCAGGACGGGCAGGAGAGGAAGGCCRGAGCTCGCAGCATCACTCTTCCTGCGGGCAGAGGCAATGGAGGGCTAATGAGATTTAAGTATCACATCCAGGCTTTGGTTTTCTCCTCTTTTGAAAATAGCATTTGCTGGAAAAGCAACGTACGGTAATGCCAGCGCCGGTATTCATTGCATGTATTTGATTTCCYCTATAATTGTAAAGGGGAAGACGTTGATGACTCAACAAGTCTTTGTTTAGGAAGAAAACACAACAAACCCCAGGAAAATACGCTGTTCGAGAGCAGCTTCTTCTCTTTTGTTTGCTTTGTTTCTTTATTTTGTTTTTGATTTATTTTGCTTTTTAATGGTAGGAGCTATGCTGTGACCTTGTGATGTTTCCACCCATAAATAGACGGAGCTGTAGACATGAGGGAAACACATTTTTTCCTCCCTTGGAAGAAATGGGCCACCCCGGCCCACTTGTGGGAGAAGTGCGAAGGACGCCGGCGGCTGCAGCCACGAGAGGTGACATTCCCACATTCCCACAGTTAAAAAAATCCCAGTTTTTCCATCATGCACTTACCGTTGCTTTTCTGTCAGCTTCACAACGGAGGCGAAGGCTGATGGTTTTGCAACCTTCACGTTGTTGCTGCGCTGTAGGGTGGTGTTCCCGGCTGCTCTGGAGTGGATTAAGCTTCCTATCTTCATCTAAGCTTGATTGAAGTGTAGCTTAATTGTCAGGCTAAGACATTTTGAAAGCCTGCCAGCCTCCTGGGAGCCTACGTCCCATTTTCAAGAGCCTGGAGGTAGTTTGGAGCCTGTGTCACTTGAGCAGTTCTGAAAATGTTCTCCAGGCTTAAAGGAGTTAAGTGCACAATTAATTCCTCCCCTCTTTTTCTCAGGTTCTCACAGTTTCGGTTAATCTGTCTGAAGCCATGATCATGGTAACATTTAAAGCTTAGTTCATGTAACTCTTCCGCTAAGGGTTGCCCACAGGCCCTAGACTTCAAGAACTGGGGTCCACAGACAGTGTGTCCACCACAGGAGTGCMCTGGTGTCAAGAGCTGATGGTGCAAGCACTAACACATCCTGGCTRCGTCTCTTTAGTTACTCAGATAAATTAACTTTTCACCGTGAGCTCAGTGGTGCCGCAGGTGGGTGAGGTGGGCAGCAGTCCAGCAGAGCTAATGTCAAAAACGCATTAAAGACCATCAAAATGGTCAGGGGCAGGACATAAAGCCATAAAGCATCAATTAGCAGAGCATGTGGCGGGCTGAAAGAGCAAGTGTAGCTTGCGGAGGCTGTTCCTGACCTTCCTGTAATGAAGGGGGAGGTTGTGCGATGCGCACGTCGGGCCTGGAGCGCATCCAGCCTCAGGCCCTCTCCCCACCAGGACATCCCAGAGTGTTGGAGGCCATCGAGCTCCCATGGAAAAGAGGCCACCCCTGCTCATGGCAGAGCAGGGACGTCCATCACGTAGCTTAAAGCTGCCCAGAAGACACAGTCTGTGCAGGCAAAGCAAAGGCAAAGCGATCACCGCAGTCATGGTCTGTCTGCGGTTCCTTATCAGCGAAACCGCGTGCCGTCGTCTCTTGGCTTCCTTCCTGTTCCTCGCCAGCCAGCAACGCTCCCTCTTCATGTTCCTCCTTCCCTGTCAGGCACTCGAGCAGGAGTGACGGGCAGTGTGGGGACATGTAGAGCAGGTGGTCGGAGGTCGCGCACCCTGGAGCTCCAGGGAAGCGAATGTGCCCTCCCGCTCGGCCACAGGAGCGTGGCGGGGAGCCACACGTCCCATGTCACCTGAGCGAGCTCCACACTCCGGCCACCCGCAAGGGCTGGGTCTGTGCAGCGCTGCCAAGGGAGCTCAGGGCATCTCTGTCCCACTCCCCGGAGGAAAAAGGGGATCAGAAATTTTGGAGGAGAGCGTGCGTCTCAGCATGCATCCTTCAAGGTATTTTTGGATGAAAAGCGAGCTCACATCTCCCCTTTGGGCTTGCCTCAGCCTAGCACTACAACAGGGCTCTCCAAAAGCCACCCCTCTCGGCTCTCCTGTGCCCTGGGGTGACAGCACAAGGCCATGTGGTCACCTGAGTGACCAACTATACAGTCAAACTTTGCCTGAGTTTGCAGTAGCAAGAGAATCATCCAGGACCCAGAAACCCACCGGTTTGTCTTCCCTCAGCCCCAGCTGGCCTCTTGGGCCATCTTCTCACCCTGCGTGGTCCTGCACCATCTCTGGAGCCGCCAGGAGAGGCAGAACCTGAACCGTGGGGGCGGCTGATCTTGGAGAGCCTCCTGGCTGCTGCWGGCATGGGAGCAGCCAGTCCCAACGCGGCGCTGCGAGCAGCATGGCTCCTCACGCCTCTCCTGGAAAGAAGCAGCCTTTCCAGGAAAAGGAGTCCGTTGGCRCCCTGCAGTGACTGCTCAAGCCCAGTTTCCATGTCCCTTGAGCTCCCAAACAAACCACGGGCTGTCAGTCGCCTGAGATCCGGAGCTTTCCACCTGTGGAAGAGGAGAAGAGATTTCCTCCTGCTTGATCAAAGGTGCYCCCTGCCATCGTGTCTAGCTGCAGGGTATTATCAGGACCACCCAAAAGGGTTTTAGTAGCCCAACCTTTGGCTGCTCCTCCTACCTTTCGGTGGGAGGGAATGCTCAGAAAGGGGTGATCCCTGTTAGATGGCCTTTCCTTGCTGCGCCAGCACAAAGCACCGCAAGCAGCGCCCGCCGCCGGCGATGCTGCTTTCACACGAGCTCTTCAAAGGTTTCCTTTGCTGCGGAGGCCAGTTCTGTGAACCACATCCCATGTCGTAGGCGGGTGGGTTTTCTGTCCAGCATTAATATTGTCTGTTCAAACTTGGTGCCTGCGGGATGAGGCATTTCTGTAGGAAAACTAGACAAAATCTCTGAGAAAGTAGGAAAAATGTGCTGTGGAAAATTCTGGTAACCTTCCCTCCCTCTGCTGCCYGCCTGTGTCGAAACATGTTTTGATTATTGGTCCAGGTGGAGAAGGTCCTGCGGTCAGGGCCGTGCCTTTGGCTTCACCGCTAGCTTCAAAAAACAACCTCCTTGATAGTTATCAATGTTTGTACTGGAGAGAGTCCTGCGAGGGGAGGATCAGYGCCTGCCCAGGCCACGTCTGCTGGAGCAGGTGGTGGAGGAGAGAGGCGCTGGTAAAACTGGTAGGTGAAACCAAGCTGGAAGCGTTTTGGAGGCGAGGATAAGATTGCAGCAAATTGGATAGATGGTCTAGAAATTCAGGCCTGCTTGTGCCCTGTCTTGTAGGGCTGCTGGGTGAGGGGGCCAAGGCAGAGGTTATGCTGGAGACAAGGCAGGGGTTAAGGGCACAGCAAGGTGACGGTGATCAACAGCATCACGCAGTTGTGCGGAAGCAAACGGCGTGCTGGGGTGGACGGACACAAGTGCCACCTTGCAGGACATGAGCTGGGGGGGGAGGTGGAGGAGCTGGGCATTCAGGAGGTGAGGGGATGGAAAGAGTTCTGAGGAAAAACTTGGGTTTTGTTCAGATAAAGCCTCCCTGTGCCAGCGCTGCCCGTCGTGGCAGGTGGGATGRGGCCGTGTGCTTGGAGTCTGAAGGAGACGTGTGTTCAAGAGGGGCCKAGGGAAGGTGTCTCAGCCCCCTTCCTGTGGTGTTTCCTCCCCCGGGCTGGTCTCCAGGGTTTTCAGCATGGCTTTTCTGGCTGCAGGAGCACAGACGGTTCCTGATCCGTGTGGCTGGGGAGTTATCTTGCCCGCTTTGGGAGGAGCAGGAGGAGAGCAGGAGCTGGCAAGCTGGCTTGTCCCCGGCTTGTTCCCCTTTCCGAGAGTGACCGCCGATCACAAGCGTGATGATTTCCAGTCAGTGTGGGTAGGGCCGAAGGGATTCCCGAAATGTGCAGCGGAGCTGGCGTTAAACTAGTTCTGGATAAGCCCTTTATTCTTTTTACAAACTTATCTGTTCCAGCCTCGGCATGTATGTGGTGCAGGTTGTGCTCTTAGGAGGGTCCCCCATGGGTTTGGGAGAGACTTAAATCCTTTATTGTCATGGGGGACAAARTGGCTGTCCCCAAACCAGTGTATTTCTACCTGGGAGTGAAAGCAGCAGAAGCCCATTGGAAATGCTGGGAGCTTTTYGGAGCGGGAATGCCTTGGTGCCTGTGTGCCAGAGGGCACGGAAAGCAAACACGAATCCGGGGCGGGCGGAGGTACGAAGGTCCTCATGGGCAAACTGAAAATCACGCTGGGGCAGAGGTTGCCCCGTAGGCAGGACCCCGCTGCGCGCAGGCGGGCGCATCCCGGGGCTGTGCGGGGCTGGCAGGGACCATCTCGGTGCCAAAAGCAGGGAATGCCCCATGCCAGGGCTCCGCTCCATCGCTGGATCCTGCCGTTGCTGGTGGCGTCTCAGCCCGGCTGCTCACACGGGTTGTAGCTAGCAAGCCCTGGTTTATCTCGAGGAGCCCCGGAGCCCTGTCCAGGCTCCCTAGTGGACGCACCTCGATTTAATCCGCAGCTGCTGGAGACGGACAAGCAACGSCTGATCTCGGCTTCTGCATCAAGGCAGTGGGAAACCCAAAGCAGCTGCCTACCCCAAAGCAGCTGCCTAGCCCACCATGGGTACATGCCCGTTTGGGGCTTGCAGCTCWAACACAGCCAGAGCGGGAACTGCCGTTGCAGGAGCCATCCCCAGCGCGAGGGAAAGGGCCCTGCAGAGATGGTCGTGCTGTTAAAGACGCAGCCTGGGGCACGTGTGTCTGCCCAACAGATTGGTCCCCGTGCCGGCTGGCAGCGGGTGGCTGTGCAGGCAGCTTCCCCGAAGCCGGGGGACGTGTGTGGCTCACAGATGGAGCACGGGGACCCCCGCGTCGGGCACGCACGTGGCACAGAGAGGCTGTTTGCTCGCTGCAAACCCCTAGCGAGGCAGAGCAGCTGAGTTTGCCTGGCACAGAGCCCAAGCCCACAGCCCTGCCGAGGCTGCGGTGCAGAGCGGGGAGCGTTAGCCGTGTTTTTCTTCCATGAGTGCCCAGCCTTCCGCCTGCCTGGGCAGCAGAGATGGCACTGCTGCGTTTCATCCAGCTCCTGATCCCCTTCTTCAGGGCTTCCCCTGGCGCCCTGGGCAGTGCTGGCAGAAGGGAGCTCCCCATTGTGCTCGTGGCCCGTTGCTGCTGCTCTCCTGCAAATAGTGGCAGTGTTTGAAATGCCACAGGTGACACACACAGCAGCACACACACCACGTATGGACCTGGCGTCCCTGTGCAGTGATATGAAGGTGTCCTTAATGGTCTACCTGAAAGGAAGCTTTRCATTGTGTTAGATATTTTAGTTATGAGGACTGGGCTTTAAATCACCTTATAACTTCCTCAGTTAGACCCCATCTTCTGGAATTTCACATGTGAAAYGCAGCAAGGGACCGATTTCTTTCCAAATAACCTGGCCAAGATGCTGACTTTTGATGGGGCTGACCTTGCTGCAAAGAGCTAGCTTTAGAWGGAAGAGTTTTGAGCAGGAAGCACACTGTTCGTGCGGGTAGGAAAAGCAGTATAGCCACGGTAAGTGCCATAAAGGCTCCAGTTTTAACGCTTGGACAGCGAGGTGACCGTGACCTGTGGCAGCCATAGGAAGGTGCTGCTGCCCCGAGCACCATGCACCAGGGCCAAAAGCCGACAGCTCAAATAGCAGCCCTGAAATCTGCACCTACACTTAGAAAACATATTGAAGGTTTTTACTTTTTAACTATTCTGCTGCCTTCTCAAAGGCCTTTTCTTTTTAATTAGAATAAGTGGAGGCAGCGAAGCCATTTGTCTCCATATGTCACAAACATCGCTGTATGTTTTAAGTGGCAGTTATAGGACAGGAAAAGCACACAGCGTGAATTTGTTTGCAGCAGAACTTGCCATCCCTTTGGGAGCAGAGAGAGCTTTGGAGGTTCTTAGATGGATTATAAAACAAGTTTCTCGGTAGCATCTGCTTGGCCACCCTCAATCCTGATTTTTCTCCCCTTAGCTAAGAGCCAGAGATGCACCTCTCTATTTCAGACAAACACTTAGTGTGTGCAAGTAGTTGGAAAAAAGGGGCCAGTGAAGGAATGAGAGCTAATTAAGCCAAACGATAGTGTTGACCTAACAACAAATGGTTCTAAGTTATCCAGGAGTAAATTCAGGTAGAGCAAGAAAGTTTCTATGAAACAAAGCAGTGAGCTTTTGATGAAACGTCCGATAAGAAGGGATGAAATGAAAACTACACAGGCCCTTGGGGAAATCCCTTGGTATCTTGCTCCCCTTATGAACATTACCTATAGTTTTCTTACCGTTTGTTTCCCATTGGTAACTACTGATGCACAAGTGCCCTTCCCCTCTGCACCATTATTGTTCCCATTCCATAAAAGCCTTTGGTGGGAGACGTTCCCAAAAGCCTACGGAAAGCCAAGCCTGCCTCAGTGACTGGGTCACCTCGCCTGAGTGGTCATGTTTGCACTGAAAGAACTCAACGAGCCCTAAGGCAGGGTTGTATTCTGGGGCGTTCACCTTGTTCACCAAGGTGTCTCTTACTGTGGTGTATCCTGGTAATTCAGGTCTTCACTACCATGTCTACCAATGTGCCTGAATCAAAAGCCAGGTGTTCTGCTGTGTAAGTTCCCTTGACTACCTCCCGAGTCCTTTAAAACTCTGGTGTCACGTTTGACACCTTCCATTCTTGAAGCAGCAAGGCTGGTTTGAGTGATAGGTGGCAGACCATGTGCCTAGCTTGACAGCTCATGATTGCGTCCCTTTTGACCTCAGGGGTCTGCTGATGTGCGACYGTTCAATTTATTGATTTACTTACAACCTCTTCTTGGCCTCAATATCTGATCTGTTATGGAGAACGAGTGCTACAGGGCAAAATTCATTAATGTTTGCAAAGCTCATCAAGATCTTCCATGAGCAAATCCCATCATATTTTAATATATTTTTAAATGTCACGAGTAAATTCTCATTACCCGTTGAAGAGCTGAAGTAAACAGTGTTTGCCAGAGCTCCATAYGTATTGGAGCAGGCAAAGGCTGCAACTTGCTTCATTTACCGCTTKTAGAGCATTTTCATTTCACCTTCATCTCCCTGCCTTGACTCTGCCCCAGTGAATATGTGAGTATGAAGAACAGCAGAGGACAGATGAGTGCAGCTGTAGGTTTTGGAAGTCAACAGCTGGTGAAACCTGTTATCCYTTACCTCCAGCTTGGCATGGTGGTGTCCCCTCCAATGGTGCTTGCACCTTACTGCACATCTGCCCCACAGGTTTACCAGATGGGTCTTAGGCTGTTAAGSCCCAGGGTTGTACAGGTGTTCACAGGCTCCGTGGGCCTCCATCGTCACCCAAGGCCAGTGCCTTTCTCTTTGGGTGGCACACGCAGCATTCTCCCTGTGGCTGTGGTCRCAGTCAGGCTCTCTCCAACAGCCTCGGATTAAACGTGCATTTCCCATTGTTTGTCCCGGCAGGATGTCAGGAGGAGACATGGCCAAACCCCTCCTGGGCCATCGCAGCGTGGAGGGGGAGCAGAGCRTGGCGCCGGCCGCGGGCCGCACCGTCGGGGTGCTGGGCAGCGGCGACTTCGCGCGCTCCTTGGCCATCCGCCTCGTCTGCTCCGGCTTCAAGGTGGTGGTTGGGAGCCGCAACCCGAAGCGCAAGGCCGGCCTCTTCCCCTCGGCAGCAGAGGTCACCTTCCAGGCCGAGGCRGTGAAGAAGACGGATGTCATTTTCGTGGCTGTGTTCAGGGAACATTACACCACGCTGTGCGACCTGGCTGATGTGCTGGCTGGCAAGATACTGGTGGATGTCAGCAACAACACTGAGATCAACCACCACAGAGAGTCCAACGCGGAGTACTTGGCTTCGCTCTTCCCCGCCTGCACCGTGGTCAAGGGGTTTAATGTAATTTCTGCGTGGACGTTGCAGTCAGGTGCCAGGGATGGAAATAAGCAGGTATTGTTTTGTTCTGGTAAGGAACAAACCTCCTCGCTGTCCCTCTGCAAAAGTAGCCAGCAGTTCAGCTCTGGTTCAGCCTCAGTAAATAGTTTTAGGCTCGAGGAGATGCCGGTGGCCGGGGTGCTGGCTGCGGCATCCAGAATCTGTTGCATGGCTCCTGCACTTCTTTGCTCGGAAATGAAATAACCCCTGTAGTTTATGCTTGGAAGTCTTGGGAGCCTCTGTGTAAGTGAAAAGTTTTATTTAATTATRTGTTTCTCTAAGCATAGACAATAAAGCAGACTGGTGGAGCACACCTGAAAGAAAAGCTGAGCAGGGCAGGGGTCTTCGGCAGCCACAGTCAATGTGCTGCTTGCTGGAATRGCGTAGGCTGCTTCTAGCACAGTCCCTCCTCCAGCGCTCGTCCCGGCAGCCTCGTCTCTCTTTGCCCTAGATGCATCTTTCTGTTCATTGCAGGTTCTGATTTGCTCCAATAACCAAGAAGCCAAGCGCATTGTAGCAGAAATTGCTCAAGTCATGGGATTCACCCCTGTGGACATGGGCTGCATGTCATCAGCCTGTGAGATTGAGAACATTCCCCTTCGCCTCTTGCCAGCTTGGAGAATCCCCATCTTTTTGGCTTTGGGGCTCTTCCTTTGTTTCTTTACTTACAACTTGGTGAGGCAGGTCATCCACCCGTACATCAGGGAGCAGAAGAACAAGTTCTACAAGATCCCCATCGAGGTGGTCAACACCACCCTGCCTTGYGTGGCCTACGTCATGCTGTCCCTCGTCTACCTGCCCGGGGTCCTGGCGGCCTCTTCGCAACTCTACTACGGCACCAAGTACAGGCGCTTTCCGGACTGGCTTGACCAGTGGCTCCAGCACAGAAAGCAGATCGGCCTGCTGAGCTTCTTCTTTGCGGCCCTGCACGCCGTGTACAGCCTGTGCCTGCCCCTGCGCCGCTCGCACCGCTACCAGCTGATTGAGACGGCCGTCAAGCAGGTAACGTGGCCGCTCTGCGCGTCAGCMCCTGCAGCAGGCTGGGCCGTGCGTCCCAGCGCGAGTGGCCTGGGTGCTATAGGGCCACTGCGCTCGCTTTCTGACACGTGTGTGGTTTGCTGGGAATAGGCTGTTCCCTACACTCTGTGCTGTGGTGGCACCCTGTGCACCAGGCCTGTCCCCARGGGCCACGAGGACCTGCAGTCTGGGCAGACCGTGCAGCTTTCACGCTCACATCTAGGGTCGATGCTCCCAGTGCCTCTGCTCCACAGGAGCATATGCTGGTCTTTGAAACCTGCCTTACCTGGCACGTCAGAGACCAGYGCAGAGGCAGGAAAAATGCTGAAACTCAGTGCTGCTGAGAGCAGGGTTCCCCTCAGCTTTTCCTGCTAGGTTCTGGGACACCCCTGTTTGCTCACGCCAATGTTCATGATAAGCTCCTGCTGCAGTGACCAAGTTGTAACCCTTAGGTTCTGTCCTGCAGGTGTGTCCCTGTCCTCGCGTGCCTCGGGGCTTTAACAAGATAAGAGTGACGACCTCCGTGCAGGCTAAGAGAACAAGGCCCTTTTATTGAAGGAGGAAGTGGAAAGGCACCTCACTGCTTTATTGCGACTCCTGGCAGTGTTTATGTGCTGGGAGATTTGTGCCTGCAGATAAGGAGCGCCGCAGCCCCGAGCCGCGGCAGCACCGGGTGCCCTTCTCCCGCCCGGCTCCTTCCTGCTCTACCCGCTCCCTCCCGGCTGGCACAAGCTCCGTGCCGCCGAGGGCCAAGCCGGATCAAGGAAGCAGCGTGGGGTGTTTCTCCAGGGCTCCCCAGGGTGGCCACACGGACACTAGTGGCAGCAGAGGAGGGCAGGGGCCGCTGCCACTGCTCGGGGCAGCAGTGCCCGCCCGTCGCGCGGCGGCCTCGGCCTCTCGGCTCCAGTCCTGCACATCAGTCTCGGGCGAGCGCCCTGTGCTCGTTTCCCCTCTACCTCCTGTTTTCAAGCAACATCTTTGTTTAGTAAATTGAACCCATTTAATGGGCTAAAGAGGATGGTTCTAATGCCGCTGTTTACTGTGCAGCATAAAACCCATCTTTGCTTCCATTAGCATGAACAATTTCCCCACTAAATGCACTTAAAACAAAGGTTATTAGGAGACTACTGCATATTCAAGCATCTGTATTTGTTTTCATGGCTTTAAGCTGACTTCTTGCTCCCATTATCATTCCAAACGYGACTCTCGGGCTGGCTGCTGTGGTTTGGGGCCGGGAGCGCTCGGCAGCTCTCCCCGTGGGCTGCGGAGCTGCTCCAATGTGGGCAGTGGGATACGGAGCATCCTCGTGGGTAGCGCCGGGGCCACCAGCAGTGCCCGGGGCTCACCCAGCAGAGCTGCTTCCCAAGCCACGTGAATAAGTGAGTCTAAAACTCGGTTTCTCTGTTCCTAAGTGCCCCGTTTTAACCCAGCTCTGTTGTCGTGCCAGGCTGTGGAGAAGAAGATGAATATCTGGGTAGAGGAGGAAGTCTGGAGGATGGAGATTTATATCTCCGTGGGTATAATTGCCCTGGGCTTGCTGTCGTTACTTGCCATCACGTCGCTGCCGTCCATCGCAAACTCTCTCAACTGGAGGGAATTCAGTTTCATTCAGGTAAAGTTGGCGCTTTAAAGTTTAAAGTTGGCACCCAGAGGCTGCTCCGCACACTGGGAATGGGAAAATGCCACGGCTGGATCCACGTGCAGCCGCGTGCTGAGCGGCAGCAGCCTCTGCACCCTGGGCCTCCCTTCGTGCAGCGGCCGAAATCTCTCCCGAGCCTGCAGGAAACTCAAGGATTGCCCACCGAGCCGGCAAGGCAGCTCCTCTGCGGCCCCCTGCTCTCGCCATGGGCTGCTGAGCAGTTCTTTACCTGGAGGAGAGCGCCTTACAGCTGCTCTCTCCCCACCATTCCCACTGGAATGTTACAGACCATGCATAAATATATACGTGTGTTTATATGTACACAGACTCACACTGTTGTGGCAGCAAATGCTGCTGTCCCTGTGCACACATTTACCCAGCCTGGTGCATCTGCCTGTTGGGAAGCATTCCCAAGTCATGCAAAGGGCCTGTCGCGTCGCTGCCGCTCCGACGTGTCCCGCTCCACTCCAAAATAGCTCCTGGCTGCCCGTGTGGAATGTCGACCCGCTCGCACCTATTTCTGGAAGCGCGGGATGAAGCTCGGCCGCGGGACACCGGCTCCCGGCCGAGCACGCACTTGCYGGGAATGCGCTTTCCTGTGGAGGCACCGCGGAGAAAAAGCGGGTGCTGGATTTTGTAGCATGTCGGCATCTCGATCTCTCTTTTTAAGTGGGGAATCTTTGAAGAAATTTTCTCTTAAATAAGTTGATGGTTTTTATGAGGAASTTAATGGCAGATGCAGCTACTGCTCCCAGACTTAGGGGTGAACGTTCACGTAGGGCAACGTGATTCCCCCTGCTGAATTAATGCCCAGCGACACAATGTTCCTGCATAATATCTGCAAATGCAAGAGGTGCAGCAAGGAGAAAAGCACTTGGGAGGTCGAGCAGCTGCACATCAGAGTCACAGGGGCTCCCAAGGCACGTGAAAACTGAAGAAAAATGTTTTGAGCCAAACGTTGCTCAAAAAACACCCATCCCTGTGGCCTTCTCAGCAGAGTAGGCTCGTATGCTTGAGAGAGGCTGCAGCAACAGCTGCCTCGAGGCTGGTACCAAGCCAGGAAACCTTTTAGTCTCCTAATCCAGAGTGCTCTGGGGCTGCTCTTTTCCAGTATGTGTCCCTAGATTGGTATCCTGGGAACTGGCTGCTCTCTTACAGCACCTGTCTGTGCTGGACAGGTCAAAAATCACGTTTGGATTTTTATAATCACCAAGATTTTTATAACAAAAATATTTTTAAAGTAACTCCTGCATATGCACACATTGTCAAAGTGGATATACAGTTCCCTTATATAGCCAGTTTGACTAAATATAGTCAAATTGGATATACAGCTCCAGTTCAGCTTAACAGAAAATATGGAGGGTCCAGACAGCAAGTAACAGGAGTGATCTATGTGTAAGGGAGATTATAGGAGACATTTTTAAGGTTCCCTAATGATTTACAAATCAAATCTAATTTGTTGAGAAGTAAAAATGTGTATGATTGCCCTTCCCATGCTGCCCTGGAAAGTCCTCCTGGATTTGCAGGTTGCCTTGGCGTGCTTTCTGGCTTAGCTCATGTGTAGCTAGGAGTAAAGCATCTGTCATCAGCCCTTTCTAGCCCTCCTGTTGAGGAGGTGAGAGCCAGCACGGAAGGAGCTCCGGCTGCCACGGAGCTCCTGAGTTTGCAGGACCAACGGGAGYAGAAGTCAGGAACATACCTGGGTCGGGAAGCGGCATTTTTCTCCGGACATTTGCTGCACAGACCTTCCAAAACGAGCTGCACGGAGTACAGGCACCTTCTCTGGTGCATCTCCCAGATACCAAAAAGAGGGAGATGGAGCAGCCACATGGAGGCAATGTGGAGAGCCTGCCTGGGGGAGACACCACCCGCATGCAGCAGCCTTTAGAGGGCTCCAACACCCWGTGTGGGCACAGTCCCCATACACCCCCCGCTGCAGCGGTGCCAAAACCCCTGCCAGTGTAGCCAAACAGAATGGGCTCTTTCCTGTTAGCAGTGCATTTGCCCAGGCTGCAGCTGCAGGACCTGCCTGCGCAGTTCTGGGCTCACCATGGAGCTTTTTGCCCGGGAGCTTCCCGGCTTGGCRTGCGCGCTTCCTGGCCCTGCACGCAGCCTGGTCGCTGAAACATTACTCACAAGCTGGCACTTCCTGCCTCTTTCCACAGGGGCTTTTCCCTTTCTTTGCCCGTTGCAGAGAAGCCCGCGGTCGGTAAGTGACGGAGGAGCCGGCGGCGTTTCCTCCGGGTGGGCGCGATGCGTCTCCGGCTGCGTGCTCAGCGCCCGCCAGCAGCCCTCAGCTTTTCCAAGCGATGCCAATCTCGGCCCTGYTTGGGTTTGCTGCTTGCAGTCGCTTTGCCCTGGGGCTCCGATGGGGATGGCAGCGATGAGGAGGATGCAGCTGGGAGAAAGGAGCACCCAGTGCCAGGGCTCGATTCACAGGTCAGCAAGTGAATAGCCCGAGTTACAACCAGCTGTGACAGGGACAGGAGAGTTCCCTGGCTCGCAGCAGGGTGGCAGGAGCTCAGAGACAGGCACAGGACRTGTATGACAGGGAAGAGCCTCCACCTGGGAGCACGTTCTAGACATCTCCTCCCTCCCGCTTCCCTGCATATCCAGCTTGGAAGGGCAGGGAATTCTTCATCCAGTCTGCTGTTAGCACACATTATGCTTCAAAAAGTTGCCTGCTTTTTTAAGGGGTTTCCTAGCAAACAGAGAGAGGAAGGAAGAGCTTCAATTGAGTAGCTTTCCCACTGAGACTTTTTCAAGAGAAAACACTCAGTCCTTCCTCCTCTTTTGCTTGGCTGCCTTTCTTCCCAGCTGGGCACCCTTTCCCGGACGTACCTTCAGGAAAAAGAGTGTTCCTTGCTGGTTTTGGCAGTGCTCTGTGCTAGGCTGCATCTAGCCCGCACTTCAAAGGTGCGATGCTGCAGCCAGGAGGGGACGTGTCCTGCCCATGGTCACAGCAGCCACGAGGCAGCCACCACCTCGAGAGGGGCACCCGGGAGCATCCCTGGAGTCAGGGGCTCGGGAGGCASCGTGACAGCTTCGCAGAGGGGCAGGGGTCACCTCGCCACGGAGCTGGCAGCTTCTTGGAAACTCCTGCGGAGTTTTGCCCATCACACTTAGATTAGAAGAAGGAAAATGTGGTCTGGTCCATGACCCGTGAAACACTTTAAGTCATTTTATACTGTGAAGGAAACAGAAATACTTACAGCTTTCTCTGTGCTACAGGGGAAAGAAGGTGCTAACGGGACCGTTTCTCTTTTGGTTTCAGTCCACGCTGGGGTTCCTCGCCTTGGTGATCAGCACCCTGCACACGCTCACGTACGGATGGTCGAGGGCCTTCGACGAGAACCAGTACAAGTTCTACCTGCCTCCCACCTTCACGCTCACGCTGCTCGTGCCATGTACTGTGATCCTAGCCAAAGTGGTCTTCAGTTTGCCCTGCGTCCACCAGAGACTCCTGCGGATCAGGAGGGGCTGGGAAAAGGGCAGATACGTGAAGTTCGTCCTGCCCAGCGCCACTGGGGATTACTCCAGCGGGGAGACCTCTAGCAATGTCTAGCCAAGCCCCCGGTGTGGCAGAGGATTTCAAAGCACTATCGACATTTCTATAAAGGTGTTTTTCTTTTTTTTTTTCTCCTTAAACATATATATGTTTTGGTATAATTGTATGGTGGGTAAATAATAAAATTTGGTGATTTTAGAGAACGGATTATCATGAAATCAGGTTAGACTATTTAAACCATACTGCTGGGTTGCTTGCACAGTTACTGCCTTAACTAGCACCACTGAAGCTGAGCTAGCAGCACTGTTACATGTGGAAACCAAGGGGGTACGGTCAGATCAGTCACCTGCAAGGGTGGCTGGCATCTCTGCCCTGCTCCTCCATTGCTCCCCCAGCCACTCTCACAAATTTCACTACTTGTTGGTTGCTTCATTGGCTTTTGGGTTTGTTTTTCCTTAATAATATGGAAGAACACAGATTTTGAGGCCCCTKTGTCAGGGAAGGAATCCAGCCTCTTGTGGCTGACCAGCCAATGCAGTGAGGTTTAGGAACATGAGCTGTGTCTGCTTGTGGTCCCCTCGGTGAACTCCACAGCCAAATGAGAACAAGGTCCATGTTACGTAGTATCCACCGTGATTTTGGCAAAAGTATCCGGCAAGTCCAAGCAGTGCCTGTCTTTCCAAGCACACCAGGGCTCCTGGTAGCTGTCTGCTGCTGCACATTTATAAGCTGTGGAAGCAAATCCCCTTTTCCAGCAGCACAGCAGCATTTGAAGAGCCACGTCCCTAACGCTCATGCCTCTCTGTGCTGCAGTGCCTGAGATGACACCTGCTGCTGCCATATGTTGTTTTATTAAACCAAAGCTTCAGGCAGTATTTGATGGAAATACAGTCAAGATCATTATCAGAGAGGTTTGCTGCTTCATGCAACTGCATGGAGAACACCAAGGCCTTCTATCAAATAATACTGCTAAGCTTTCTGAAAACACTGTCATCATTTCCATTCGTGCAGACAAAAGAGCAGCTCGGAAACCATTGGTTTCAGGAGCAGTGGTAAGATTTTTGTATCATCTTGCAAAGGTGTTAATGAGTCTTGGCCACAAAGAAAATACAGCAAATGTATATTTGGGGCAAGGACCTTCATTGCCTTGCACCTTGAAAAGTCACTGACTAGATTGCACAGCAGGTATCACGTGCTGTTCTTCCAACTTTGCACCACCTTGGATGAGCTGCAAGGCAACGAGGAATTCTGTCCTAAGTTCACTTTCCTCCTGTCTCTTCCCACCCCCTCAAGCCCTCGTTCTTTATCAGAACAGTTCTGCAGCTTGGGGATGATCCACACCATGTGAATGGAGAATACAGAGCTGCTCTTCACAAAAGCTTGCCTAAAAGCAATCAAGACGACACGAGAAGATTGCTCAGAAGGCCAGGTGAAAGGACATGCTTGAAATAGCCTGGTTTGCCTACAGTTAAGTAAAAGACAATCAATGTTGAACATTGCTTTGAAAAAAATGATCRTTGTCGCTATCAAATAAGGTCTGCTTAATGGGCAAGAAAGTTCCTGTTATTAGGCTAATAGAAGCGGGGGAAACGGATCWATTTGAGGCCACATCAGGCCTTCCAGAGCCACTTTTGCCTCTGTGACCTGGGTGATTTTGTGACAGAAGATTTTATGAATTCCCTGTTGAGCCTCAAACGACTGCAGAGTTCTGTTTCCGCTCCTGCTCAGGCTGCCGGTGCCGAGGGATTTCCGTTCCGGGGGAAGATCTGCACTGAAGTCTCCAAACAGCGAGTCCTTGCCCTCAATGAAGGGGGTCAGCACGAGGGAAACCCTAAGGTTTCACAGCAAGTCAGCTAGCGATTCTGTTGCAGAAGGGGGAAGTTCCCAACCTCTCCTGCCGGCCCTTTCAGGAAGTCGGTTATTCCGACCTCACCACCACAACTAGGCCCAGATCAGCCACTGATAAGAACACCCACCCCACAGATACATTCATCAGTGGTGTTTGCAGCGGAGCAGGAGGTTAAGCTGCACGGCTGGGACAGTCTCACATGATGGGAACCATTCCACCCGCTCCAGCGCCACTCGCCTTGAGGAAAAAATCGGCTTCCGCAAGCTGCTGCTTTCCACACTCTGCCCCGTTTCATCAGCAGGCGAAGGGCAAAATGTCTGCACATTTCCTAGCGATGATAAAGGCAATTAATACGATTTAAAAGCCTTTTCCTCCACAGCCAAGCTTCTTTTCACTTCCCTAGGTGAGGCAAAACTACTGCCCCTTGCCGGAAGGAGTGGGAAGCAGGGAAGGGATAATCTGCAGGGGGAAGGGGAGGTTTTGGGGCGACACCAGACTCCCCTCTCCTCCCGGCAGGACCCAAGCGGGCTCCGTGGCTCTGTGCAGCCTGCGCCACCACATTCCCATTCCCACTGGTGCCGGCAGGACCGGGAGCTCGCAGACGGAGCCAGAGCTGCCCGAGGGCTTTGCGCACGGCGCCCTGCCGGGCTGCCTGTTCTCCAAGACCTTCCGCAGGGGGTTGAAGCATCGGTTTCGATTCAGGAATCCTGCAGTGTGGCCTGAGGGATTTTTAAACAATTTGTGCCTTTTTATTTTTTCCTTTTCCTGCATTATTTGATATTGATAGGGGTTTGGTGAGGTTAGCTTAAAATTTCCTCATTAACTGCTTTTGTATTTAGAGTTCCCATATATATATATATGGTGTATATATATACACGTACATATATATTTTATTGCAGAATATTCAGCTGGAATGTAAATTCTTTGTATTTTTATTTGTGTATTGCTTACTCTGTGCCTCTGGGATATGTAAGATCCAACTGACAAGCCTAAGAGCGAGGCCAGTTGCACTCCTAGTCACTGGCCTCTGCAGCTATACGAGTTACTCTGAACAAGGCTATAAAGTTCCATCAAAACTCACTGGGGTCTGTTGTTTTCTTCCCTTCCCCTAGACAACAGCGTTGCTTTTAGATGTCTTCTGATAGGCAATGGCAGGAGGGGGGAGTTGTGTGATCATCCAGCGGTTAGCCACCCAGCAAGACCAGCAGCATCTGGTAGAGTCTCTTTATCAAGATAAATATCAAGAGATATCAAGATATCTATCAAGATAAGTGCACACCCACGTGGCCGTGACCCAGCAGCCCATTCTCAACCACCTTCTAGATGGGTGATGGTGCATTTTAATGAACTAATTTGTACGCTGATTTTAATGAGATCGTTTAAATTCCTGTGCTGAAGCTTAACCTCTGCAGGTGCAGTTCCCTCTCCTCCTTTTTTCATAATCCAAGGCTTTTAGCAGTGCAGTTGGGTTGCTGCTCTGCAGRGATTTACTTGCAAAGTGATATATCAAACTACAGAATGCAGCTGCTTCTCTATACAATGCACTTCTATACATTACATATCCTCTGGTCTCTCCAAGATGGCTGGGACAGCAGCCTGAACTACTAGAAGCAGCAACAAAAGTCTGATATTTAAGTCAAAAGTCAACCCTGAGTTAGTGGGATCTGCAGGTGGCCCCTCAGCTTTAAAGGAGCAGGTTTGTTACAGTAGGAGAGTTTTCTTTGTTTATTCTGTCTTARTAAGTAACATCATTTTTGCAGAATTTTCCCATGATTTTTTAAGTGCACATGAAAACCACACGTATTTTAAAGCTAAGCACTCAGTGTACAGCAGGATGGTACCTTCTAAGACAAGGTTCCTGCTGGCAGAGCATGCACAGCATTTTCATACTCAAAGCCTGAAAACTCCCGTAATCCTCCTTATTGGCCTCACACATAAACCACAGGATTAGAGGAATCCTTCAGACTTAGCATGGCACCACAGCAGCCCTCCCGCACTATAATCTGCTTTAAATTAGAAACCTCAGCAGTGGAGGCTCCGCTATAGCTGCTGTTTTGCTGGTTAGTCCTCTTACCTGTTTCTCATACTTGCTCTAGTTCAGCTTTCAGCTGCTGCCCTTATATGTCCTTGCACTGGCTTAAAGAACCACCTGCAATCAAGTGGCTGCCTTAAAGTTACTGCCTCGTTCAGCTCTCTGGATAATAAATATATTGTACAAGAGTCAAGTCTGCTCTCCACAAGCCCAGGTTCCTTTTATTTGGGAAAAGAGTGATGAGAAAAGGCACTAACACCAATCATTAGGATATGAGGCTTTCACTTCCGGGTTGCTTCTCTTACTCTAAACCAGCTGATGTGCTCYAGTTGGATAGACACCAGTGCCTGCAGAAAGCCAAAGCGGAAACTGCAAAATAATGTGGAAAACAGACTGAYACCTTCCATGAAAAAAATCTCCGGAAAAGCAGCCCCAAAGCTCAGGCACATCTTCCTTCTGTGCAACAGGTCAAACGTATCCTCTTATCCAGGCAGAATCTACRCACACTCGCATCGTTCGGAGCCCCACACCTCGTGCTCTGCTGCAGTTTCCAAGCTCCAGGACTCGCATCCCGTCGCAGCTCACAACACACGGCCCCAGGAACGTGGTGCTCGGTGCCTGCACTACAGGGAGGCAATAGCAGGGCCAGCAGCATGGAAGATGTGCTGTGTGTTGAAGCTGTGTTGCTGAAGATTTATTGYGCTGCTTTGCATGTGTGTCTGCTCTGGTTGATTTTTCTTGTGTTAAAAAAAAAAGACACATTTAAAGTCTGCTTCATGAAACCTTAACAAATTAATTTCCAGCCCATTCTTTAAATGAATGTTCTGCAAATGCTACCTCACGGCATGCAAAGATTTAGATACGCTGGGGCAGGCTCCACAAAGGATGCCCTCTAACAGCAGGAATTTAAGCCCCGATACCAGTTCAATTTGCCGCTTTGGGTTTCATGAAAAGCAACACGTTCTGCTAGGAGGGCACCAGCTTTCAGCAGTGCAGCCTAGCACAGACTTTGTAGTCTGGTAGGAACCACTTCACWGACAAGTGCTCTTCATAAACACCAAAAATGCCTCCTCGTGCAGGGCTTTGGGAGAAGGAAAGAACAGGCTGTGCTGACACCTGGTGGCTCTGGCTGCCAGCGAGACAGTTCACGGCAATAGGTCTTGCTTTTCACTGCACTCCCCATGTTCCCTTTCCCTCATTTCCTTCCAGGATTGAAAGTTTATAATGAAAACTACTTTTTTTTTTTCCTGCTGACCAATGAATGGTGCTACCTAAGCCTTTCTGTAAAACTGCAAAAAATCCTCTGTTGTGCACAGTTAGCTGTGCTGTAAAAGAGGTTCCTTCTTAACTTCACAGGATATTTCTTCATGAATAAAGAACAAAGTACATTCACTGTCACAGGAAATGCTGCTGCTGCTGCTGCTGTCTAGCAGAGGAGATGCAAACCCAGCCCCTAAAACACACTGGAAATCAGCAGAGCTGGCAGCGAGAAGCAAAGGGAAGTGGCAGAGAACGCGCCTGTATCGTCACAGCAAAAAGCCTTGACCAGCCACCCCTCTCAATCATAAACTGAATGGTAGGAAAGAGTTGATGTGCTGATAAGATGAATAAAAGCAAAACTGTTCACAGGCCAGCTCTGCTAAGTTCATTAATCACTCGCAAATCTGTGCCAAGTGGTAGCACAAAAGGGAAACCAAGGGGGAAGGATCTGGTGCCAACCTGCAGGACTGGGCTCAGGCCAAGAAACTGGCCAGTAAGTAAAGTGGGTATTTGTTTGAAGCGTTTGCAAAGTCCCCAGGCAGCTGTCATTGACTTTGAAGCCCCAAGCAAGCATCACACACTCCGATCCGGGATACTCAGGCCTTCCATAGCCATTGGTTTGTAAGGACAGACCCTGCAGATGTCCTGTCACTGCTGGTGTAACTGTGACAGCAAGACAAACAACTGCAGCTCACAACTTCACCYGGATCACCTTTAAGAATGTTTCCATCAGGTACTGCAGCCTCCCAGCTTCAATGGTGGTGCACGCCAGATCCTTGAGGTCTCCTCTAGGCCACTGCTAACTGGCAGCATTCGACTCGCGAAGCTACCCAGGTCAGCAACTTTATTAGCTGTTGCCTCTTCCAGAGGCAGCGTAACCAGCTGTGGACATGAAAACACCCAAACATTTGCACGACGAAACTGGAATGTGTCAGTGCTAGAAGATTCAAGTGCCTATTCCAGCAGTTCACAAGATCAAAGATGGTTAGAATTCACAAATGATGTAAAAAATGCTCTTTTCATACTTTTAGAGATATGACAAGCAGTGTTACTCAGGTAGCTCTGTATCTAGAGTGTCACATATTGAAGATGTTCTGTGTTTGTTTAGTTAGATTCACCTCTCCTTCCTTCCTAAAGTAATTCCTCTCCCAGTTTCCTCTTTTCCCTATTGCTGTTCTTCCCCTCCCTAACCCAAACTCCAGTCTCTCTCAAGTCCTTTTCTTTCTCCAAGAAACAGCCCAGCTCTCCCCTTCCAATTTAACCACCTTCCCTTGCTGCATTGCTATAACCCAGGAGAAGTCAGTTCATATTTCAGCATGCACCCTGGAGGACATACAGAGAAAAAACTGCTCTTTCTGTTTGGAAAAAGAAAAAAACACTGGTGAGAGACCCCAAGGAGATCAGACTGAAAAATGAATCCTCATTAACCCCACAATGCCTAAGAACACAAACCGTGTTACGAACAGTGGCAGTGATTTCCTTTCATAGCAAGGGGATTTCATAAAGACATAGACAAAGACAACACAGTCTTCAGCATTTAGTAATTCATTAGGCAGCGTTCACAGATTTCATTCAGTACTCAACAATTCTGGAATCAAATCTACTTTGACGTGGGCTACACATTCCTATTCCATATCCTCCTGAAAAACGCCGGAACAGCATCTGTTTTGGCAAGTTCTCACTGATTATCTATGGGGGTTTGCTTGTTTGGTTGCTTTTTTTTTGAAAGAAATGTTATGAAAGGTCCAATAGAAGAGCACAGTAGAAAAACACTTGAGAAAGAATCCAGTTTCCAAGAAGCATCACCGAGTGCTTTATAAAAGGCTCTACTGTGTGGCTGCAGAAACAGCCAGTGACATTGCCAGAGTGCAGAGAGTTCACAAGTTTAACCCTTCCCTTGTTATTTTTGAATATTCTCATTTAAAAAAATAAAAAAGCATTTATAGCTTTCTTCTTCATGCTATAAGATCAACATATTCAGTGTCACACTGAACTTTTATAACGACRCTAGTCCAGAAAGGACAGTTGTTAAGCCTTGATGCCTCATTAAAGCACAAACGTCCTAGAACAGAAGAAGAATCACAAGAACAATACAAGTCTTTCTGAAATGATTGGAAATCAGATTAAAATCCCCAGAACACAAGGAAAACATGGACAATCCTTGCTCAGCGTGAAAGCCTGAGTGCTGACAGAATCTAAGATGCCTTGGTAAGGCACTCTGGGACATTGATTTCTCCAGTATTTCATCTATTTCCTGCAAAGTTGTCTTCATTATAGTAAATGCAGCAGAACAAAGCAGGTATTGTCTGGAGTGCAGTGCATTAGCCTGAACAGTCTGTGAACACAAACTCCTCTTCAAACTCTTATTAGCCAGACTAACCTGGCAAATATGACAGACTGCAAGAGAGCAGCTGAGACAGGTGCCACTGTTCGAGGAGCAGGWACCAGCACCAGAAAGGGGGCATAGACAGAAGGAAAATGGAAGTGTTAAATTCTTACAATAAAATCCATCAGAGGATGCGTATCAGCCTCTGAGACCCAGGAGAAATCTAGGGCCTTCCTTGATGCAGGATTTCTCACTACAGATGAAGATACAATTACCCTTTCAAAGGGTAAGAGCTGGAGCATCTTCACAGGAGAACAAAACTCCTTCTGAAGCAAAGCTGTCTGTGAGTAATGCCAGGTACCTGAATGGAATCCAGCCTAAACCAGAGTTCATAGAAAAGATGAAAAAATGATGCAGAAGCAATATACAGAGGTTTCATTGGTCATATATCAAAAATAAAAGGAACTTTTATTTAGAAACACTGGAAAACATTTCTTTCACTATCAGAGGCTCACTAAAAATAAAATAAAAACCAAGTTCTAGCAAATGGTAAGCTTATTTCTCTGGAGAGTTTCTGGTGGAAATACTGTTGTCAGTTGTCAGCCTGGGTGGTGGGCAGAGGCATGGATGTAAAGCACAACAGGTCTCACTGCCTTAAACTGAGTCTATGCCCTTAAAGCCTGCTAGAAATGGAGAGGCAGCATCACTTACTTTTAACATAGCAGGAAACATAGCAGGAAAGCCTGGAATTAGCAACTAACATTGAGCAACATGGTAATCAGCTTTAGGAAAAGTGGGAAAGSATCAGTCCCAGTTTTGAAGACATGTGGCTCACACTCTGTCTGGAAAAACTACCTGATTCCAACTTGTGCTTATGGATGTCCTGCAAGAACTCAAGTCGYTGTCTCTTATGCGAAGGAATAGTGCGAGAAAGGGGCGAGCTGGTCCTGGAGCACAAAAGCCTCCCAACAGTCCTGTCTGCTGCAGCATGCAAAAGAGGGCTGCAGGAGAGCAGAAAGGAAAGCATTCATCAGAGCAGCATGGGAACAATAGTCAGTCTGCACCACTTAAACAAAAGAGCTAAACAGAGAATGAGTGAATAAAAGCTATTACTTGAAACACAGAGATTCTCTTGTCAAGCTCTCCAAGCTTGATCCACTGATCTGGTCGTAAGAAAGTTTCCATTTTTATTAGAAGACAATGCTGCAATGGGATTTTATTCTGCCTCGTATAATCTCCTACTGTCTGCTGTAGGATCACGCCGAGAATGCATGTCACAGGTCAGAGATCATTTACACCACCTACGTTTTAACAGGCAAGGGAAGGAAAAAGAAATGTGAGAAGTACAATAAAAATTGCGCCTTGGTCTCCCAATTTTCCTTCTCTCAGTCTTAGTCTGACAGAAATTAATTTCCACGGAAAGGGAATCGCAGTGTTTGTAAAGCAATCCTCTAGGATTTATTGATCTTTAAAAAAAATCTCATTAAGCAGAATAAGGAGAATTTACACCAGGTATAGGAAAACAAAACAATCTCTCGGGATCTTCACCAGGCCGAAACAGGATTAGCTTTGTAGTTTCTGTAATCTTCCTCACAGAAGAATGCTAATTCAGTTTCGTTTGCTAAAACAGATGAAAAATAAAATATTTAGCAMACCAGTAAAAGAACCACCCAACAACCAACTAGTTAGACTCTTAAAAGGCAGTTGGTGACTTCTTGGTCAAAGGCAATTACAAAGCAACACATTTTTCCCTCMCAAAAACCTGATACTAAAGACATAGTTTAACCTTGTTACAAGAACAAGAATCTGAAAATATGTAARTAAATAAAAGGCAAGACCTCTCAAGATTTGTTTAACACAAAGATTGCAGACTTGTTTGTATAAGCGTTCAACAAATTAAATGACTATATTTGTAAATCTTGCTAAAAAAAATAATGAAGTGTGATTTTCTTTGTCTTTTGTCCACCTTTCTATTAGGGAAGGAGAAAAGAAACATTTTTTTTTCCATCAAATTAGCCTGTAGGTATAATAATTTAATACTTAGAGGATCAGTGGAATATTTTACAGATCACTTTACATTCTCCCTCATGACCCATCAAAATATGTGTCTGAAGAAGTTAATTTTTTGCCCTGCTGATGATTAATTCATGAGGCTTCAACAATATGCAAAGTGAAAGACACAAATTGGCTTCTCCAGCAATACTTTCAAATGCCTCTAATTATTCACAGGGGATATGGCAGAGCTAAAGGACCCACAAAGGTTCAGAGCAGTCACAATTCTTTCAACCCAGTAGGTCAAGGACTTCCTCTTCTAAAACAGTAAGTCAGCAACATTATTAATTCAGAACAGAGACAAACCTGATGGAAAACCTTCACAATTATTAAACATGGAATTCTTTAAGGTGCTGAGCCAATAAGATCCACATTCGCTTTTTAAATTAAACCTGAAATTAATGAAGTCTGCTGGTCTGCTTGGGAAAAAAAAAGAAAAAGAAAAAAAAGATTCTCAGATCTCAGCTAGAAAACAGACAAGACTGTTTGCAGTGAATGCTGAGCACTTTATTAACATACATCCTGCTGTAAAAACAGGCAAGCATTAACTTTGCTGACTAGATAATAGCTGTAATAATCACCAGCACAGAGGCTTTCCTGGTGATACTTATCTAATGTCCTCATAATTTATAACTAGGAGGCCCATCCCTGTGAAGTGCCAAGGGCAATCAACTGCAGCTTAGGAGAAAAAAAAAAAAAATCAAGTTCTGCTTATCACAGAATTTCCCCAAGAAAATTGGAGAATTCTCTCTGTTATTCTCTTAAATTTTGTCCAAACTAGATACTAAAATTAAAAAAAAGAAAAAAGTCAGCGGAAGATTTGAAATCTTGCTGATTTAAATGAGGACTAACAGAACACAGTATCACGCTTCACTTCCTTGGTTGACTCTTTTCCAATTCTTGTGGGAAAAGGAGGACTTTTCAGAGATTTCCCTACAATGACTCCTTTCCTAAGTTAGCTAATTTTCATATCAAGATGTGCTGGAGTACAGCACAAACTGGTATAATGGCATGCTGCACTCTTCAAAGTAAGAGTTGTTCTTTTCTATCCCAAATGCCAGCTACGCAGTAACCAACTGCTGTGAGTTATCTTGAAAAATTACAGAGCAGTTTTAAATTATTTTTTTTTCCTTGCTTAAGCCACCTCTCTCTCTGTGCAGAGAAACAGAACAGTCTGGTTTATTCCCATTTGTTTTCACTACAGTATTTACTCTAACATCTAGGCATCTTTCCTGAGATTGCATTCAACTGCTTCACTGCTGGAGCTACAAACCTAGTTTAACAGATGGACAATATACACACAAATACTGGGCAATGCTATTTTGAATGAGGGCAGTGCTGGACAATACCAAATCCTAATGCAACATCTGCATTGCCATAAAGCCTGTCCTGTGTTGCCTCTTAAATCTTAGGCAGATTTCTCACCCACCTCAATTTAACCCAAAAGTAATGGCAGAGAATCTGCCACAAGGAAAACGGAGAAACAGAAATTAAAAGCAAGCAAATAAATGACTAAAAGAAAAGCAAACCCTCTCCCTTCACACATACACCCTTAAAGAATAAGTTTATTTTTGCTTGCTGCAGCCACAAAAGGGGGTTGCTTAGAAGAATATAATGCAACATAACCAAAACCATTTCCAGTTAAAGCACTCCACCTGAGCAGTGTCAGAAGCTCCACAGCTCTAAACATGTTTGGTCAGAGGAAACAAAGGGCTAAGGAAGCCATGAAAAAGAAGGAACATTCTGCACAGAGAGGACAGGCAGCTGTATGTGACAGTGGGACAAATCACACCGAAATGAGCGAGTGTCCATCACAAGGTGGAACAAGCCCCACTTAYGAGGAGCCCAAAGGACATTCAGGGACCATCAATTTTAGCATGACAAACATTTCTTTACATTATTACCAAAAGGCATGTCTTATACTCACTTCACTGTCCCAAGGCGAGAAATCTGGTCAAGTCTCAGCTCTGTGCTATGTTCAGCACATCCTCCAAATGCTACTTGTGCTTTCCTGAGCAGTCTGACTGCTGGGCACAGTGTCTTGCACGTTAAACTAATCTAATCTTATTTCATTATTCCACGCTGGTTCCACTACTTCCATTTCTAACCAAAACATCAGTCTAAATGTTACTTATAAGACTAAGCGGACATGGTACTAATAACCTACCTGTCAATCATTTAAAATTACTCTCARCAGAATTACAAGCACACCATCTAAAAATCACAATTTGCATTCTGAACATTTGGAGTGCAGATACCTGCTGCCCTCGGTCCAATGATTTGAATGTACATTATTCCCCCTTCTTCCCTGAATAATTATCAGGTAGTGTAAAGAGCAGGAAGAATAGCATTTGCTTTGCAGCAGGCTATCCAAACATAATCAACCAGTTATCAGTTTAATGACAACCGCAAGGAACAGCAGCTTCAGACAAYACAAATGGACTCCTACCTACTCCAGCTGCCTTCAGCGTGCTTTCTTCTTTCAAAATGAGTCTGTCATCATCTTCCAAGCTCACTACAAGTTCATTCGTCTACAAATTACAGAACCAGAATACAGAGATAGGAATAGGGTTTACTGTCTCTTCTCCAGGTTTGTTTAACAGTGCAGAGATCTGCCTGCATTAATGCACGTAAGATGGGAAGAATACAGATAATAACCATACCTTAGACTTGTGTGCTTGGTGAATAATCTTCATTGTATCTGAAAGAAAACACAATGTTTACCTAAAGTCAATTTATCTGATACATAATACAGAAAATTGTACTTGGGGAAGGACAGAAAAATAAGAGGTTTGATCTTTAAAAATAAAATYATGTGCTCAGACTTAAAAAACAGGGGTGGAAACCTTGATTTCTTAGTTGTGGAGCCACAGCCTTTGACCAGACTGCACGACATACAATCMAACCTTAAGGTACCACATCCTACTGGGTTTCTGCCTGTTGCTTGAACTACAGTAACTAAACGACCATGCCAATCGCCAGGCAAAGCCCATGAATTGAAATGTCAGAGTATTTTAACCAAACAGTTTTTTATCTATGAAACTGGGGCAAAACAAAAAACAATCCATTCAGTGTTAACTACTATTGTTAAATTGATAGACAGCAATGGCTAAAACCCAGTAACTCGACCACTTCAGATTTTCCCTGGAAATTATCCTTCCCCTGAGTCAGCACCCACAGTAGAAATTATGCTATACAAAGAAGTAAAACAAATCACTCACTCTCCATTGGTTATGTGGGCCTGGTTTTGTGAGCAGAAAGGAAGAAAGTGGGGAGAAGACTGTGGTAACTAAAGTAAACAGTTTAAAGAAAACATGCAGAGGGGATGGAAATCCAAAGACGCCCATGAAGCTAAAAAAAAAGAAACAAACAAAAAAAATTTGAAAAAAAAAAGCCCTAAAGCATCTATCTTTGAGCAAATTCTGAATAACACATTGATATCTTCTCAGCAAATAATCAAGGAGCAGAGCTGTTTGGTTTGGCTGTTCGTTTTCTCTTCTAGTTTTTCTGTATTTTAATAGGACACTACATACTGAAAAAAAAGCCTGGGAAAGGAGGCAAGAAAGGTAAATGCAGCTACAACAACTTTCAAACAACGGAGAACAAATATTTAGATGGTCAGAGTTAAGAGATTACATTCCCATTCAGAGGTTTGTTCTATACCTTTGATGCACAAACAGGTACCAATCTTGCCCATATTGAACATTTTTTTCTTTTAAAAACTACAGATAGTCAGAACCACTCCATATTCCCACTGAAAAGGCACTGCTATTATGCAACACAAGTTGCAAAATTACCCCATCTCCTTAAGAAGCAAGACTTGAAAAAGCAATTACAGGATCCACCTTGCATACTAGCACTGCAAAAAGCCTACGCAATCACAGCAAAAACCACTTCCAGCAATCACAAAACCTTTTCTATGACTSTAAATACAATCCAGACACAATTTTCACAATTTTAAGGCTCTAGATCTACTTTGCCTCTTTTTTTTTTCCTGGACTTTTTTTTTCCATCAGTCTCTGAACTGTCATCTCAGTTTTACCTGAGGTAAAATTGTAGGTAAAAGTTTTCCACAACTGGCAGTTTACCTCATCTTCGAGCTGTTAAATGGCTTTTCTCTAACTCCATTAGAGAGATGAAGCTGCAGCCTTACATCCCCTCTACTGCCTTTGCTATTGGCAGTCTAGAGTAGCCCACTCTGTCACACTGCAGATCTTTACACTGTATTTCCCATTTAACAGATCTGCCACAACAACAGACAAGAAATCACTTTCTAATACTGTGTTGAGTATCTACCATATTGTTCCACATTTTGGAGGAAAAATAGGAAAGCTGCTTGTCARACAAGACGGCAGCCAAACTGCTATTAGTGAAGAGGCAATGCCAGGACAGACACAGGACAGAGCCCGAGAACCAAGTTGTGCTGGATCCTGGGCAGAGGAAGGCAAATCAGCTTAAGTGAGAGACAGTCAGGGCCAAATGAGATTTCTGACAGTGCTAAACGAAGGAGAAAAGAAAATGGGATTCCCAATAATAATTCTCARTTCTCAATAGTACCGTACATCTACATGTCTCGCGGCCTTCTCATCTCCAAAATGCAAGAAAAATAGCAAAGTGTAACGAAGATGCCAAGACTATTAATGATTCAAAGCCTAAGGGGAAGTCCAGAATCTAGGTTTGATTTTTCTGTGTGAAAATGCAGCACAGCTGGCATCACTCCACTAAAAACAAGCCCCCACTAGCTGGTGTAGCAGGTTTTTAACTTCTGCACTGTTTTTCACCCACACTCTGCCCAGCCCTAGCAGAGGGATCAGGTGCTCAGTCCCAGCATAAGCCTTAGGCAAAACTAAGCACAGGCTCCAAATGATGAAAGCAGCAGCAGGGATAGGCAGCAGCAGGAACACAACTGGCAGCACAGGACACCCTCACGTAGCCAAAACCWCAGGTAAGAGGGGAGGAAGAGCATCTTCAAATTCTAACATACAGTTCTCCATACTTGTAAGAATTTAAGCAACAGACAGATTAATAGATAGATGGGTAAAAGTTGAAGTCTTTGCCACTGACACATTGTAAATCTTGATCCCTAATGCCTTTCTCATTTTTATTTAGTACTGGTTCACCAGTATCATGAACATAGATTAAGATACTTGACTTTTATTTTTAAATAGCCTCCTCATTCAATTCTTTGAGTTACTGTGGAAGAAGGAGCTCACTGACTCCACCAAGAACATGGGGACAGAAGATCACTTGCAGCAAACTCCAGAGTACACTTTGAGAACAGACAAGTTTAGGTCATCCAAGTTGCCAAATTCCACAAAAGGAATAAATTTCGTTCATCTAAAAAACATATTTTGTCTCCAGCAGGATGAACTGCACCTGTTCAATCCAAGCTTCACCCAAAGCAAATATTCCCATGGTTTTATGTCAGAGGATAAATTCAGCCCAACTTTTGTATCACGATACTTCAATCTGTCAACTTGCATTTAAGAGCTTTCCTATCTGAGCAATGCTTTCCTCCTCCTCTCATATTAGGTTAATTATTTAAGTATCTCAGTCTTAAGCATTTTCCATTTACYGCCTTCAGCCCCTTCTTTGCTATCGTTTCCGACCTCACAATTAGTAAATAGATACTAAAATATATAAACACAAAGAGAAGCACAATTTCAAACCATCTGGGGTCGGAMGCTGCTCTGTAGCACTTACAGAATAGAGTTAAAAGGCTCTTACAAAAGTAATGAAAAATTAATATGAAAAATCCACCAATGCCAAAGAGCAAATAATGCWTAATGCGCAGCCTATTTCAAAGATTAATAAAAAAGTTCAAAATAATGGTCAGGGTTTTCAGCATGATCCCAGTGGCACAACCTCCACTACAACCATGGGGGACAGAACTGCAAATGGTATGAAGATGCTAGCCAAGAATTCTATTTGTCTTCTAATCTGTGTGTATGTGTGTAGAAAAAATAAAAATTAAAAAACCACACCTACCATATTTGTAATTTTTAAAAGGAGGAGGAAGTCCTGTTCTTGAAGGTACATCTGAAAATAAAAGTATCACGTTAAAACAAAGTTCTCTCTCTCCCTCCACTGTCCCAGTAATACACGGGAGTTCAGTGCCTGCATTCTGGTCTGTCACATCAAAACAAAGGCTTAAAAAGGGAGACTTGTTTGAGCATTTGTAATGCAACACTAAGCTAATATTGCCTCATGCTTTAATCACAGCCATGCACTACC